CGCCATTTTCTTATTAGAAAAAGTTTGCTTCATTGCTTGATTTATTTTTCTCGCTAATGTGTTGAAAAATATTGTATGACATTCGTGCGGAATTGGTATTAACAAACTCGTGACTATGCTTATTCATCATACATTAGTCTACTCGTTTGTAATAACCAACTTACCGCACTAATATCATAAATAACTATTACTATACAGCGTCACCGGCTTTGGGGACAGCTGGGATCCTAAAAGGACCTCAAACCGAGAATAGGGATGATGACTATTTTTTTCTTCGTTTATCAGGTAGATCAGGTTTATCAAAAAGTGTTGGACACGTATTTTTTCTTTTTTCACATAATATAAACATTGCAGAGATATATTGATTTGAAAAGTCTCATGACGTCACGTTTTGGTACAATTTTCACTTAAAAGTGTCGTCACGAGCCCCTAATCCCAAACTTTGACGCGCTATAACTTTGTCATTTTTTTGGTGGATTGCCTAAAGAAAAAATACGTGTCCATTATTTTTTGATCATCTAACTGACGGACGGACTAAATAGAATTTCGTTTACTGTACGCCGTCATCACCCCTATTGGGGATGGCCTCTAGAGGTACTCCAAGCGTCTGGAGCCTCTAGACCACTCGAACCTGCGACAGACAATGCTCAGTTATTTTAACTCAATAGACATAATTTTTGGATATTACCCAAGAATGGGTATTTTATTAAACTTAACGAAAAAGATAGAGTTTGTTTGTTTGTAGGAATAATCTCATATGGTATTAGCTACTGAACCGATTTTGAAATATAATGTGCTATTATAAATTTCTCCCGTGCAAAGAAAGCTGGAGCGAGTCCCTCGACTTTCTTTAATGAAACACTCCTATGCGAAACTGATATCGACGAAGCAATTAATTCAAAAAATCGCTCTTAGCGATAAGACTGCCAATTATAACGCTTTTGTTAAGTTTATTGTTTGTTAATGTTATGTAATTACTAGCTGACCCAGCGAACTTCGTACCACCATAGAAATAGGGGCAAGTGGTAGAAGAGAAAATTTAGGGTTTTATGTATTTTTTAATACCACATTATAAAAAAAATATTTTGGGGGTGTGTAACGTAGTGTTCTATCAATTTCCTGGGATAACATTCCTCCTAACCCATATGAGAACACTACGTTACAATACCCAATAGTTTGAATTTTGGCGCGAAGGCGCATTGTGGGTTTCAGAACACTACGTTACAGGTGGACAACCATTATTACTCAAGGATATGAAAAATAGATAGTAGCCGATTCTCAGACCCACGGAATATGCATATAAAATTTTATAAAAATAGGTCAGGCCGTTTCGGAGGAGTATGGTAACTAACATTGTGACACGAGAATTTTATTTAAAAGATGTATTTGGTGTTATGATGAAGTGTTAATCTATCTAATCCAGTTGAAAGCTTATTGCTCGCTTGTTGTTTGTGAAGTATTGATTTGGCGCGTCACATTTCCACACGAAGTACACGTGGAACTTTTCTATATCTTTTATATTATATATATATATATTATTCACGCTAGACTTGAGGGGTAAGCTGGCGAATGCGTTACGCGTTACGAAAAGTGTGTTCGGGCGTAGCGAGCGGGAGTTGAGTGGGGGAGTTAGTAAATGAAATATGAATATGTACTCAAATACATATATTGTACATACAGATGGAGCTAAAAAGGTTTCACTTCAGTCGAGTGGCATACGCACACCCCTTTTTTACGAATTGATTAGGTAAGATTAGGCGATTTGATGTTAGTTAAACACAAAATAATATATTTTTTTTTTCTAGTAAGCACATCCGTAAATACACTTAAAGAGTAAATTTAACATTCGAAACAAAGTTCCGGTGGGCCCTATTTTATTTTGAGTAGTTCACATAAAGGTACCCTTTCTGAATTTCACTCATACATAAATGAGTAAATTATTTCTCCTGGGGGTTTAATTAACTTTTTTTAATAGTATTTATTGAAAGGTTTTTATCCAATATTATGGAAATGATAGCCGAATCATATCCTGATTTATTTGCTAAAATATGATTGATTGATTTGGCCAATTGCCCATTAATTAAAAAATATTTATAAGTTTTTTAATGCCGCTTATTCTATTAATTTTACTATATTCATTCATAATAACATACTTTGTCGTATGTAAATCAAGCTTTTACTAACGTATAACAATGGCTTACAATCTTACAACAATACAATATCGTTGTTAATGAAAACCTATAAATTTCAATGAAATTGTGGTCACAGTCACAGCCAAGACAATGACGTTTAAACTATTCAGTTTAATATTCTATCCACAATATTTTGTAATGTTATTGCATTTTGTAGTATAGGGACCTATACACTTTGCACGTGACTTCGTCTACGTAAAATAACACTTATTATTCTCTTAATGTAGGAACTAAGTACCTATACATATTTATTCGATTTTTAGCAAAATAAACCAAATCGACATTTTGTCTCGAAAATAAAAGATTCAAAGGGGAAATTCTTAAAATTTTGAACTATGTGTGGATATAGGTTAGGTACACTATCATATTGCTTAACAAGGCCAATTTCAGGGGCCAATGGCTTAACGTGCCTTCTGAAGCAACACGGAGCTCGCGACAGCAAAATGTTGGACTCCCGTCCTTGACCGTGGATCACACACCAAACGCGCAAATCAAACTTCATGGGCATATGCGTGCATGGCAACGAAAGGAGTGAGATAGGAGTGAGAGATGAGAGTTAAACGGGCTTTACACAACCCAATTTTGAGAGCCCTATCTAGGGTTGTAGCAATTTTACACCGCGCCGATCGTCTTAAATCGGGTCCCTTACTCCCTACCTCACATTACACCACCCTTAGTCAGGGTAAGGATGCCTTAAAATTGGGTAATGTAAATCTCGCAATAAATATGGCTGGCACCCGGGCCATTTACTATATTCAACCTCCCTCCCCTCTGGCCGGAGCCCTGTCGAAATATTTGTCTCTGTTGTAGGCCCTTTTTTTGTAACTCAGGCAAAACCTCTGTTTACAGACGACGGCGCCTTTAAGAGGCACACCGCCGAACGGACCTCACACCTGGCTCCCGCAAGTCTTACGGACCCCCCAGTGGCTGCCCACTGAGGACCCCGCAACTCTTACGGGCGCTTTATGGCATAATATTCGCTAAAAACCCTGCGAATACCCTTTAAGCTGCTTAGTGCGAACCTATAATTACATAAAATTAAATTTTACAGGAGCAGTAAAAAACTCGATGAAACACCTACTGTGAGCTTATGACGTGGTTTTTAATTTAGTATTTTTAACACAATTTTGTTGTTGAAATTCAAATTCAGCGGGCCCGAAACCTCCGGCCTGTAAAAAAAAGTATTTTGACCATATGCGCAACTATATCATTTTGTTCGCCAGCTCCTCATATACATGTATGTGCACAAATAACGAGAGAACAAAAAAGAGCCTTTCTGCCGTTTTCTCTTTTCCTGTTTTTTCTTAGAGCAAGCAAGGTCACCCACCCTTGCCTTATAATGCAAAGGTACCTATATCATTATCAACTTTCACAAGCTATCTCCGCTTATATTAAGAATAATTAACTTGAAACAAAGTAAGTACTTAGGTAAGCATATAGTTTGACTATAAACTTAACTGAATTTCTGAATTTGTAATGAATTCAGCAGATACGGTAAGAATCTGAATAATTTATTTAAAAGTAAGTATTTTCATTTCTCCGAATAAATTAAAACAGCCATCTACATATATAAAACTCAAAGGTGACTGACTGACTGACATAGTGATCTATCAACGCACAGCCCAAACCACTGGACGGATCGGGCTGAAATTTGGCATGCAGGTAGATGTTATGACGTAGGCATCCGCTAAGAAAGGATTTTGATCAATTCTACCCCCAAGGGGATAAGATAGGGAATGAAAGTTTGTATGAGACTTTGCATGTAGGTATAAGAAGAATCATAGATGAATGTCATTGTGTATAATACAAGCCTGAGAACAAAAACTGCAGTCTACACTTCAGCGTTGCACCGAAGCGAAGCGAGGGCGGGCCACTAGTGTTTAATAGATGTCTAATGTAATAAATGTTAACATCCAACATAATTAATATAAATTAGGCTCAGTCACCGAGCTGGAATTTTGTTATGCAATTACTAAACTACATAACTACTCCATAAGTCGTAATTCATGTCGAAATAATTGATCTCATCGTAAATAAAACGAATAATTAATATAATAAGGATGTAAAGTAATTAATGAACAAAATTTAGGGAAATAGTTTAAAATATTTAAGACCTAAATAACCATAAACAATATCTATTACGATTGATGAGTATGTAACCTACTTCCATAAATTATGCATTCCATTTTAAAATATAGCGTTATTAATCCGTCTAAGTGAACATTTCACGCAATTCAATTAATATTTCAAATTAGCAGTTCATTCATAAATAATCAATAAAATCATTGAAATAAAGTTAATTTTAATTAAATACGAATCTTGAATCTACGAATGCTGATTTATAAAAATAATATTGAATATTAAGTTATCCTCTTTTGGCGGTCAAACGACTGTACCTACTATGTATTTCATGTTACATGGTCAGATTTTCATTTTAATTATATAAAATTGAGTGAAACTGTAATTGGGTGTCTCAAAAATGAAGAAAGTTTGACTTTGAGAAACGACGCTAGTAAAAAGTAGAGCAAATTTCACTTACGAACTCGCAATCATTGAATAACGAAAATTATGCAAAGCTTTAACTGTTACAATGTATTTAACAAAACTCGTCACCAATAAGTTTATCAAAGTGTATTAGGGAAGCTTTGAAACGAATGAATTATTAAGTTTTCACAAAAAGATGGAATAAAATCTAAATAAAATGTGAAAGCGGTAAACTTGACGTTAAACGTCAACCCTGCTCTAAATAAGAACGAGAGAGAAACGTATCGGCTATTATAAAAGAAAATTATCAAAGTAACAACTTACACTCCAACAACACCCGGCAGTTCCCCGAAGAAATCCTTTCGCACTTCCGATTTGTACTTCACCAAGCACGGCATAGCTGGCCTGAAGGGGGTCGGTCCTTCGCGTCTGTACATCCTCTCAATTTCATCAGCATCATACACGAACAGGAGGTCAGGCCTTCCAATCAAACCTCCCAGTCTCACAATCCTACCGTACTTCTCCATAAACATTTTGGTCACTTTAGCAAACTCCGATATATCAAACTGCCCGATCACTGGGACCATACGCCAGGTGTTCCCTAATATAGGGATTGGTTTCGGCCCCGGCACTTGAGAGTAAGGTTTCGCGTTAGTGAACACTTCTTCGTTCAGTTCTGCAGTGGGAGCCATTTGGGAGCGTTGCCTTTTTGAGAAAGGGCATGATGATGAATATCTTGCGTTTTTTACGCACGCAATTGCGCACGGTCGTAGTAAGCGACCCATGGCTGTTAAGGCCGGTGTGGCACTGCGTGCGCCCGTGTTCAAGTATCTGCCGCTGTCCGTAACTATAGTATCACGAAAAAGACATAACAGAAGGTAAGGTACATACAAAGTGCGCTTGAGCAACGCACACATAGACACCGCTCATGGATCAGACACGCGTCTGTGAACTTGTTTGTGCTAGAAAATGGAGCAACAAAAAACTAGTAATTATGTTCAGTAGATGGTTGTTTCAATACAACATATAACCGTGAATTGAATTATTTAACATAACAACAACATTAAAATTAAATATTTCAGTTATTATTGGTATATATTACCGTTCTTTCTGTATCATTCTCGACACTAAATCAAAAAACTAGATACGAGTACCACTACCCCGATAGTTTTGTGTGCAGTAGCCAAAGTTGACAATCTTAGCGCCTACACCGAGCGCAGGTATGCAAAGTACGTACATGAGATTACCTTCTGTATTCTGCATTTTGTGCTGCCACTGTCCGTAACCATAGTACCGTTGTGAGAGAACCGGCCCGCTCTGGCAACGATCATTATGATCACGGACAGAATACAAAACCAATGCCGTTCACTTTTCGAGGTTCGTTCGTGATGATTAAAACCTCATTTTACAAAAACCTTGTGCGTTTTTGAGTTTTAAAAAAGTATGCCAGAGAGTTTTGAAATTTAAAATTCGAATGACCTAAAGCAATTTCTGCTATGCGAACTCTGCGAAGTGTGCGAATAAAAAAGTTATTTTTCTCAAACATGCTTGGAAAAGTGAGCATTATTTTGACAGTCTTCTTCGAGATATATTATACGAAATTGCTGTGCTAGCCATATATACTCATGCGAGCAGCGGCCGGAAAAAGTTGTAATAAAATCTGGATCTGTCGTGTTTAGCGGTTAGCAGCCAAATGAATTGAACGATCTTTTACCCCGAAACATTGGAAACCAAGGAGGTAACTTATCAAGTTTTTATGAAAAAAAACAAATGAAGACTAACACGGGAATGGTTACTGTTGTTCGTCATTGATTTTCCAGCAAAAGTTCTGCCTAGGTACTACAATTAGTATCCCCGCATTATTTGAGAAAAAAAATATATACAAGCTTTACATGACCACAACTAGGCATTGTTGGACTTACGTATGTATGTATGTCTTGGCTTCGCCTCGGCCCACATTTTCACGTTCGTCTATCATTGCCTCTGTTGCTGATCGCTGCAGTTGTACTATTCATCATCATCATCAGCCTATTAATGTCCCCACTGCTGGGGCACAGGCCTTCCCTATGGATGGAATAGAGAGATAGGGCCAAGACCCACCACGCGGGCCCAATGCGAATTGGCGGGTGATAACGACTGCAGATGCAGCCGGGACCAACGGCTTAATGTGCCTTCCGAAGCACGGAGGAACTCGATATTGAAGATTTTTGGTCACCCATCTAATGACCGACCTTTGCGAAAGTTGCTTAACTTCAACGATCGCAGCCGAACGCGCTAGCCACCTGCGCCATCGAGCTCCTCATACTATAACCAGTACGATATTGACCTTTTTTTATTTGATCTGTAGCACTTATTACTACTATTTTTGACTTAAAACTCAAATAAAAAAAACCGCCAGAATTGGAGCGCCCGTCTGGGGAGGTAACCTCCTCCTTACAGAACACCATAGTAAAATAACACTACCTTTTGGTGGTGTTGTGTTTCTGTCTGTGAGTAAGGTTCGAGGGTTCCATGGGGTAGGTAATTAGGTCAGGGTAGGCTATTGAATAATGTTGACCCCTTACCATCAAAGCCATAAACGTTTGTTTGCCAATATTAAAAAAAGAATCATCATCATCATCAGCTTATTAATGTCCCCACTGCTGGGGCACAGGCCTTCCCTATGAATGGAATAGGGAGATTGGGCCATGACCCACCACGCGGGCCCAGTGCGATTTTGGTGGGTGTTAACGACTGCAGATGCAGCCGGGACCAACGGGTTAACGTGCCTTCCGAAGCACGGAGGAGCTCGAGATAGTAAATTTTTGGTCACCCATCCAATGACCGACCACTGCGAAAGTTGCTTAACTTCAACGATCGTAGCAAATAATAATTAAAAAGAATGACAAAACTAGTAAATACCATATTCAAGACCATGTTTTCGGATAGATAGGTTAATTTTACAGTGTTTTCTTATAGCATTGTATAAGGTCGTGGTAGCTTTTTAGGGTAATGAAAGATAAACATGTTCTGGTCCTATACAGGGCGTACCACGGGTTTGTCACACGGAGGGAAAGTATATTATAATGAAGATAGGATATTTAACTGAAAGAAGACATCATTTTATTTTTAATAATAAATAGAACTGTATTCACAGGTTTTTTAAAAATCGTCTGCTATTTTTTAAGAATAATACCCGGCCCTCGCGCACCGAGGATTCCGTACAAACTCAATTTAATAACTCTACGCGTTTATGACAAAAGAGGTGGTAACTTTAACATTTTGAAAAATATTTTTTATTATATGATGTAACTAAAAAAAACCGGTTTTCGCAATTTTTCCTTTATCTGTACTATAAGACGTTACTTCGTACCAAATTTCAAGATTTTAAGTTCACGGGAAGTACCCTGTAGGTTTTGATTCCCGTGCGAGTTTCGAAGCGCCATAAACGGCTGTATCTTTTGATTGCTTCGGCTTAAGTTTGATTTTTACATAGCTTTAGAGCTATTAGGAACAGTAGACATGAGTATTAGATATGAATTTCAGTTTGATACCTCAACGAGTTCCTGAGAAAAACGGTCTTGACAGACGGACGGACGGACAACAAAGTGATTCTATAAGGGTTCCGATTTTTCCTTTTGAGGTACGGAACCCTAAAAATACACGACGTATTTTATTATAACCATCGAAAGAGTTAATCATAAGGATTATTTTTTCCTAAATAATCCTTATGATTATAATCCTTATTATTCCTTCTCTTTCGATTCTTCAATATTTAATATACTTTCCTTCCGTGTGACAAACCCGTGGGACGCCCTGTATATGTAGAGTGCGAGCCAGATAAGTCTGCGCGCGGCCAAAATCGGAACTAATGGCAGGCCGCCATGTTGTCGTTACGTCAGGTGTTGTGAGTGTGTAGAGCAGTGGTTCTCAAACTTTTTAAATGACGGAACCCTTTTGGGAAGCAAAATACTTGATGGAACCCTACAATAAAACAATTATTTTTATAAGTGTATTCTATATTAATCAGCATAATAAAAGTACAATGTATCCGTTACTAATTATTATTTACTTCACCACTTGGTAAGGACAATAATAGAAAACATTAAAAAAGAAAAAATCTAACTAGTGGGAGGTATGAAACTGTTTTTTATTTTTCATCAATTGCTTGATATCAGGTTTGATGGAAGAAAGTTGGAGTCTCATATCAGCTTCGGCGTCCAGTCTATTGCGATATTTTGTTTTCGTGGCTGCGTAGGTAGAGAATCCTGTTTCGCACAAATATGTAGTTGGGAACGGGAGAAGAATATCCAGAGCCATTTGGCCAAGCATTGCATATTCATCTTGGATTCTGCACCAAAAATCATTAAGAGGCGTCGTTTTGAACAATGACTCCATACTTGTGTCTGATGACATTTCTAAAAGAGATTCATATATCTCATTTGACATGTTTTCAGGCTTTTCCAAGTTGGGTAAAAAAGGATTATGAATCCAGGAGTTCACTTTAATTTTTGTATTGTGTTCTTCGGGAAAATACTTTTCAAAAGATGCGCGCATCGAACTGAGATATTGGACCAATTCTTCAAACACATTATCTTCAAACATTTCTGAGTCGTTTTCGCTAACAAACTCAGTGAGTAACGTAAAACTTTCTATTTCTTTCTTACCAATGCAAATGATCCAAAAATCTAATTTTCTTTTAAAAGTAGTTATTTTATTATAGGCCTGAAACACTGTTGTCTGTTTACCTTGCAATGATAAATTTAATTCGTTAAGTTTTTGAAAGATATCCGCCATAAAAGACAATCGGAACAACCAAGTTTTATCATACAAACGGTCCTTCAAATTAAAAGAAGTATCTGCTGAAAGAAACATTTGTAACTCGGCTCTAAGTTCAAATAGCCTTGTTAAAGTTTTTCCCCGAGACAGCCATCGCACTTCTGTATGGAGCAGCAGTGTTTTATGTTTGCTGCCATAATCTTCACACAATAATGAGAACAATCGGGATTGTAGTGGTCGTGATTTGATAAAATTAATTATTTTTACCGCTTCATCCATAACTAATTTTAGATTAGACGGCATTTGCTTCATCGCAAGTGCTTGTCTATGCAGAATACAATGACTGGAACTACAATTAGGCGCTTTATTTTTCATTCGTGACACTGCTCCTGCTGTTTTACCTGTCATCGCCTTGGCCCCATCTGTACAAATGTCAATGCAATTGTTCCAACTGAGATTATGTTCTTCAAAAAATATATTTATTTTATTAAAAATTTCTTCCCCGGTAGTGTTTGTAAGCAGCGATGAACACATAAGCATGTCTTCTTCAAAAGAACTTTTATATGGATATCTCACAATAACCAGCAGGATAGCCAAACCAGCGACATCAGTCGACTCGTCCATTTGCAAAGCGAATCGTGTATTTTGTAGACGTGTAACTAGTTCTTGTTTGACGTAGCTTGCCAGATCATGGATTCGTCGTGAAACAGTATCGTTTGATAGCGGAACAGTAGAAAGATGCTTTGCAGATTTTTCATCAAGCATACATTTTGTTATGTCTAATACACATGGTTTTATTAATTTCTCAGCGATAGTGTGCGCTTCACCTGCTTGTGCAATGCGATAGCTAACTAAGTATGATGCCTCCGTGGCCTTTTCGTTGGTAGTTTGTGTTACATGCATCATATTTTTTTGACTTTCTAATAACTGATCTTTTTTGCGAACAAAAAATTCTTTATTCTTGTCTTTAGTCTCGGGGTGTACGGTTTCTAAATGTCGACGCAATTTGGCAGGTGCCATGGAACTATTAGGAAGCAGTTTACTACAGAGCATGCAGAGAGGTGAGCCGTTGGAATCAACAAATCCGAAACTGATATAAGATTCATCATACTTCCTTTTTTTCGTCTTTGAAACCGTCGAGCTTGACGTCGTGGCACTCGTGGCATCATCTTCTGGATCGGTGATTGCTAAATTCTCCGCGCGCATTGCTTTTGAACATTCAGCGTCATTAGAAGATGTTGTTGGAACACGTTTAACACCTTTAAGCCAACGTTCCATTCTTCTTTATTTATAATGTTACAAGTCAGGATAGTGGGGTTTAAATAATGCACAATCGTTACTGCGTATAAGAGACTAAATTTAGAACCTACAGGGAAGAAATGTATAAAACTGAGACAACAGAATACAGCAGGCAGTAAAACAATGAACACCAGTTTCTCGCTAGCGAGCTTGTAAGTAGGTAGTAACTTATCGCTCCGAACGCTAATCATCAACTGACGACGCCAACGCGCGATCGCCGCTTTTATACTTAGTCCTAGACTCGATCTCAAATATTCTCGAAAATACTCGAGTCGGCACCTTTGATAAACAAAAAGCAAAAATAAAAACAGAAATTTAAAAATAGCGTTGTAAACAATATCGACTTTATCCTTTGAAGTTAGAGACGAAAGTCGCTAGTTGACAA